ATGCCGTGCGACAGTCCCCCTCTTTAAAGCATCCCAGCAACCTCGCTCCTGTGTCTTAGTCCCCCACCGCGTCGAGGTTGACCGGAGGCTCGAGGACAGCGTGTCTTGGTACCTGCAGGTGAAGGAAACTGCAACATCAATAGGACCAGATAATGCAAGAACCTGGCGAGTGGCACTAGCGGGCTTGCAGGCCTGTTTTCTCATGCCTGGCGCGGTTGGCAGGCATCAAGCATTGCGGTCACAGCAAAGCGTTAGCGTAGCATTGCGTGCTGCGCTTGCACTAGCGGTGCAGGCCAAGCGTGGCCAGTGTCATGAAGCGTGACACAGTGCGATGCGGACGCAAGCTCCGCAAGGCTAATGCGTCGTCTCTCTGCACTGCGGTGCTTGAGGAAGGAGATGTTGTCTCGACTTAGCTTATCAGCCCAGACGTTCTTTTCTCCTGCCAAGTGTTCTAGCTCGAACTGCACGCGGCGCAGATGAGCCCAAGTGGCGGCCAGTCGAAGGAAAAGGCCTAAAGGCTCTGCGGTGCTGAACAGTTTGTTAAGTCCGCTTTCAGCGCTGGTGTTGTCCGTTGCCGAGGGCAGGACAAATCTGACGTGCTTGCTGCGGAGGCAATGCCAGGTGCATTGCGCGAGCGCGAGCTGTGCAAGCGTCTCGAAGCAGCCGATATACGGCTGCATGCTGCCATGTAGCTGCGGCCATTGTTCGCGGACCTGATCTGCTGTGAAAATTTCGCTGAACCAAATGAATTGTTTGGCTGTGCTAAGCCAACCTCCTATGCCGATACGTGCTGTGTCAGCAAAAGCATCTGCTGCGCTGTAGCACTGAAGGCGCGGTGCTGTGCGGAGCGAGCGAGGCTGTTCATGCGCGAAACATTGTGCCAACCATGCGAGCACAAATTTGCTTTCTTTACGGAGATGGATTTCGGATCGATGCGGATCCGCTAGTCGTACCCATTGGTGCTTATGGGAGGGAGGAACTAGGGGCACATCAGATTTAGTTGAAATCTTGATGTTGCCTACTTCCAGTAGCTGTGCGTTGCGAGGCAACCAGCTGCCGGAGGGGGTACGGGTTAGTTTGGCTTGGCGGTCGAGCACATCGTAAAAAGCTTGCCACATGGTTGGGGCTATGCTATGGAGGGTACCTTTAGCACTATGAAGGTCCTTATAAAGAGGGGCCATGAAGGGGCGGAGGTGCTTGCTTAGAGAGGTGGCCCAATTAAGGAGGCCTAACATGCCTTCCAGTGCTTTGCGGGGCACTTTACTCTGTTGCTGCAGAGCTGCCAATTGCTCTCGCAGCTTTTGTAGCTTGGCTTGGCGTAACTCGACTGTTTCTGATAGCGTGCAGAAATTCCAGCCGCACCAAGTAACACTAGTTGAAAACTGTGCCTTTTTCCAACTGATTGGTGCATGCAGGGCGGCTAGCAGTGCAACCACCAGCGCTGCTGCTTCTGCCGACTCACCTTTGCGGAGCAGTGCGAGCAGGTCATCTACATAGAGCCAAGCGCGGTGCGGGTGGTT